TAGGTGATTTTAACCTTTCAAAGCTTCCTATTGCACGATTAGCAAGCTATAAAATACGATAGATCAACTTCAGAGAGAAAAAGGGGTTAACACGAGCGAAACTGGGAACTTCAACTAAGCTTTAACGGGTAACAGGCAGTAAATAGAAGTCAGAACGTTGTGACTACAATGCTCTTTCAGCTAACCGGGGTTCCCTTCAGATTGGTGCGCACCACATAATTCCCCTTTCAACGAGTGATTGCTGATAGGACCAATAGGCTTGACACATGGCCGAGAGACATGCACAGCAGGAGCGTCGGCTGGTGTAGGGATAGCGCGTGAGCCCCCCGAAAAAACAATCCCGAGTTTAACGCGTACGAGACCTCCCGGGTTTTGTTCACATCTCAGCATCCTTGTCGCTGTACTCGATCCATTGACATGCTGTGAAAAAAGAATAGGCAGTAAATAAGGATTGAAATAGGGTTAAAGATGCCCACCTGAGTGCTGGACACAGAGCGCTGTGTCCGGGCGTTGATGCCCAGCATGGCAACCTCGTTCGCAATTATGCTGTGCCCATAGGCGGAGCAATGAGTAATGTGCTATGTGAGTTCACGTCGCCCCCTCGTTCGCCAAGCGCTACGAGTGAATTATCTAAATAGGGATGGATAGTGATGTGATGTCGGGGGAAATCGAGCTTCACAGACAAATAGTCGCCAAATCGAATTCACGCTGTCTCACATGGGAGTTAACATTCGATTTATCGTCCACGACTGCAACAGGAAACAAAAGCGAAGTGTAAGCCGCGAAGAAGCTTTGCACTAATTGCAGCCTTATTGGCACCTGGCGAAAGATTCATATCGATCTCCTATTATCCGAGAACCCTAGTGTATATATACATATATATGCACATGTATATATATATATATATGTATATGTATACATATGTATATATGTACGTATATATATGTACATATATATAAGCACGTATATGCATGTGTGTGTGTGTGTGTGTGTGGGGTGTGTATGTGGGGCCTAAGCCAATTACATATTGAATGATGGCACAGAGTTAATCTGATATTTCCGCGAAAGAACCGCATAAAACTAAACGATTGCACTTGAAGTAAACACGATTTCCCTAGCTGAACCAACAAAATCCTCTACGTTGTTATTTTTTCTTCAAAATCCAATTGTAAATTCCTCTCACAAGGGAAAAAAATCACTAGAACGAAGGGAAATTCGGCGTTGAAAGTGAAAATTGATAACGCTTATTATGCTGTTCATTAATCCGTTCGAAGCGAGACGTTTTTCGCTTTTTGCTCGAGGTTTTGATAGACATTCGAAAGCATAAATCTCGACGGTATCAATGCTGCCTTTGAAATTTTGGAGCGTTCTCGATGCGCCATAGAAACCAAAAGAAGATTACATTTCACACATTCGGCGCGCCTTTTTTTGCTCGGCTCGAGATGGTAGATGGCTTTCCGGGAGAGCTTTAGTAGTTATTAGATAGCCTGAAAAACAGTAATTCTGAAAATGAACTTAGTTTTCCGGAAGGTTTTCATAGAACGGGATAGATATTATGTCTCGTAGTCAGGAATAAACGCATGAAAACATATGAGGATCTAGAGAAAATCGGGGTGTTCAAAATGCCAAAGAAAATGTAGAAATTTTCTCGGAATAGAGAAATTTCTAAATAAATAACGAAAATCACGCGACTATCGAATAGTGCTGCTCGTAGCGTCTTCACTGCCACATCGAACAAGCGCGATTTTCCTTATTTGTTTAAAAATTTTTCTGTCTCAGAAAAATTTATATATTTCTCATATTAGGATCATAGAAGAGACCTTATTCTATCGTTTTTATGAGTGCTGGCTCTTATTTTCGCTTCATATTGTCTTTACGAAGTTACGAAGAACCCGCCACGAAGCTTGAGCAACGGCCTGGCTACTTTGAACGAGAAATGTAATATTCTTTTCGCTCTTAAAGCACTCAATAAAGACCTTTCAAGAAACCAACTTTAGCTTCAGAATCGACGAGATTTGAGCTATCGAATGACTGCTAAAAATCCAGTGAAAAGCCATCAGCAAACCCCACCCGAACGAACAAAGCAAACCCAGTGTGAGACATAACTTCATTTTCGCTGTTACAGCGCATTGAAAAGGCCCTTCGAAAAGCCGAGTATATAATTGAAATCATAGAGATTCAGGCTCTGAATAATTACAAAAGGTCACGATAAAAAATGTGTCAGCGGAAAAGGCCTTCGGAAATTCGTGAATTTTTAAAGATACACACTGCCCTAAACGAGTAATCGAATCACTCGAGTAGTTTTCAGTAGAATGATCGCTTAAGTCACGGTCCAGAGATGTACCCAACTAGGTTGGTCCATTCATTCAAGCGACCCGGAAAGCATCGTACTTCGATGTGGCCTATTATTTTTGCTCACTTAGAGAGAAAGTACTCCCGTGAGAGTGATTGCACTTATGAGCAGTTTACTGCGTTCTCCGTAGATGAAAGCGTACTACATTTGTTGAAAACGATCCCGAGCCGCTTTCTCTTCCAAGAATTTCCTCATTCCTCGGTGCATGTGCACTTTGGCGTTCTTCTAATCTCATTTGGCATTCGATTAAAGCCATTAATTATTCCTCACAACATAAATCGACAGGTAACGCTGGCTTCTTAATATTCACTCGTCGATCACTCCTCAAATTTTACTATGCAGATCCCAGCAGTTTTGCCGCCGAAGTCGTTTCCTCTCATGCATCCTCCACAAAGATCTTCGTCTTCGAACATCTCGTTTTTTGTTCTGACGTCTTCTTCATGAATGATAGTGAATGCTGGCCCGGCAAATCTTCTTGCAATCGCGAAGGAGGAACTCAAGCTACGCCGTTCACTGACTGACTGTGAGTGATCGTTGTAGAAGGGGTCGAACCAGATCTTTACCTCCTGACAGCCTGCATCACTGACCATTTTGACACCGCATTCCCACCTCTCCTGCCACCTGTTTGGCTTCTTCATTCAGAGAACACTACTTCTGCCAATGACTCCAGTTTGAACTAGTCTGATTGAGCGCCTAGTTCTTTTTCCGAAAGAGGAAGATTGCCTGCGATGAACCAGTAGTGCAGGCACATTACTGGTAAAAATGACAACGAGGAAGATTGCCTACTATGAACCAGAAGTGCATATCGCACTACTGGTAAAAAATTAGTTCAATTGATGGAATTTATGCCGTGAAAATAACAAATACAAAAGCAGGAAAATCATTTCATGAACTGTGCGTTTTCAATGTAAAGCTTACACGAGGTGGACATTTATTCTCTCCAGGATCGATGCATAACGTTTCGGTAATTTTACCTTCATCAGAGCCGCCAAACTTCTTACATAGGAGAGCTACTGGTGTGATGAATATTTGTAACGTAATGAAAGATACAGATCGATACCTTGTTTCGCAGAAAGGCTGATAGCAGAAGCGGACCCTCGGGACAGGTTAGCACAGGTTCCTCGAAAGGATGAGATGCAGGTTCGGTCTTCATTCGAGGGCCATAATGGATATAATATGGTACTTACATGTTAGACGGCAGCAAATTTATAAACCGATCTCATTCGCTTTACGAGAAATTTTCATAGGAGTGTTAGTAATCATTCAAAAGCTTGAATCTCTGGCTAGAGCCCTACTTGTTCGTTTTGCAAAACACCCTCTTATAACACTGTAAAATCCAAAATAAAAATATGTTTCACACGACCACGTGTTTTTCTTCTCATATCGCATATATTTCGCTGGACAAAATTCCTTGCTTAAAGTGCTAGCATTCATCCGATGGAACGAGTTTCAAAGAACTCGAAAATGTGTTTGCTTTTTGGAAAAGCTCCTTTCATAGCATAGGAAAAACAAATGATTTTTGCTTCAGACCTCACGGGCAGAGCTCCTTCTTTAAAGCACTGTAGTCATTTGATAACGTAAGTTCCAATAATTTTAAAGTTGTGCTTATTTTCTAAAAATACTAAAGATAATGTTTAGCAGGGAAAATCGATCGAGTTCACACTTTCCACAACCTTGCTTAGCGGCTAATTCACGTAGCGGGAGGGCGGTGCGGGGCGGGGCGATCGATCACGTTTGAAATATCGTTAATCAATCAGGGATTTTTTTCATCGCATGAACAGAAACTTCAGATGAAAAACGCATGATTTTGATACTTAGGAAAATCCTCTACACGCTGATTTTTTTTTTTGTATTCCAGCGAATTATACGGAGGCGAAAGGCGCGTGTGAAACATAATTTTATTCGGGAAGTTACAGCGTTATAAAAGGGTGTTATGAAAAACTGGCGACGTGGCGTTGTAGCCGGAGATTTAGGCTTTCAAACGGTCACTAACATTCCTGCGAAAGGCCTCTCTCCAGCGAATGAGATTGGTTTATAAATTTGACGTCGTCTAGCGTAAAAGTTCCCATAACACAACAGTAATTTTGAAAAATTATTTACAGGATGTGACAACACACCGGAACGTCAGTCAGCGATTCTGAAGAAACTAACTAACGCACAAGCTTTACATTGCAAAGGACAGTTTCAGAGACATCTTAATCATCAGACGAAGGATTAGTGAGAGCGGTCTTTTGAGTTACAAGAAGCGAGGGACTTATCTTGCCAAGAACAAGTAGATTTCTCATCAGCTGTAATCCTAAGAGCATGATAAACTGCAAGTAAGGCTTTCCTCCAAATCCAGGAAGATCGATTGGGCAAGTGTTTCATGAAATCCATAAAAAAAGACGAGGTTGGCCACTGGAGAAAAGCTTGACGACAATCGAATCCACACGTTTTGGTGGATGATCGACGTATACGAAGAAGATAATCGACCGAAGTAGAGAAGTACTTAGGAGCAGCAAAAAAGTCTGTGATTGAAAGTCGTCAAAAAATCCTCAAAATTAAAATACGATTACCATCGTTTGACCCTTAGAAAAAGGAACATCATCACGAAAAGTAATACAGATGAAACTATGAAGAATTCAGACTAAATCGCGCGGAAGTGGTGGTCTCAGTGGTACGGTGGTAGCACGCACCTCCGATATGGGCGAAACGCGGGTTCGACTCCCGTCTACGATTGAGGATTTTGTATACCCACTCGTCATGCTTAGATGTATGATTACAACATCACAACACTGCTATAGAACGGTACAAATAGAAAATCCTCGTAGATTATGCAAATGAGACTGAGTTCAAAGTACGTCAGAAACACTTTTCTTCCACAAAATCGACTTTTCACTCCAGAAAAATATCGAGAAATATCAAGAAATTCTAACGTTTTCGGCAGTCTTTCCTTCAATAAGTCCAGATACGATATGGTTATACCGAAATTTCTTCGGAGACCCAAACGTTTCGGAGGATTTTGCCTTGCGCAGAGTCTGGGAAAGCTCGGGTTACCTAACCGACCCAGTTAGGCAAACGCCTACTTCCGCTACTCCAAGGGAAAAGAATCACGGAAACTGAAAAAGAAAAGAAAAGAAAGGAAAAACTGGACACTTCTGAATAATGCGTAGATCAGTAGATATTCGATCCTGGTCAAACCAATTTCTTCGTTCAAACCTTTTGAGACAACGTTATCCGAGAAAACATAAGATTTTTCGGGGGTCTTTCTCGCCAGAAAAAAATTTTATTTAGACTTTTACTCGCCATTCGAAAGCTCAAATTTTGGAGATTACAATAATCTGTTTGGTTTTTGGGAAGCTTTTCCTATCGCGTCGAAGCAACAGAAAATAGAGTATGTTCCACGTCCGACTGAGTTTCTTTCCTCATCCAGGATTCTGTGGATTTCTTTTGCTGTGCTACTGGTAGCCATTCGATAGATCAAATCTCGATGACTCTAAGGCTAGAACTGATTTTCAAAAAATTCTTCACAAAAGAAGAGAGGGCCCCAGGTGTGAGAGGAAGATTACGTGTCTCACTCGAAGCTTTCTTCGAACACAAAACTCACATACCCGATTCGGGACCGTGGACTCACGCTTTCGCATCTGTGGCCGCTCTGGACTGTCTGCTCCAGCTCCTCTGCATTCCCAACCTCTAGCATGCGGCGTCTACCCCCCAATCGCACGCTGGGGCGCTAGAGATGCACATGAAGCGGAGCAGACCGTCCGGAGTGGCCGTGAGTCCACGGTCCCGAAAGGGAAATGCGCGAAAATCACATGAACATGTGGAGAAGATCAAGGAGTATCAGATGAACACAGAAAAACCAAGGTTTTATCTTCCAAATAACGAAAAAACACTAATTGAATAACGTAAATTGCGCTCCTCTTGCAAGTTGCGCTGTGTGACCGAAACGACCGATCAATAGCCGTCCGTCCCTAACCGTCCCTAAAGGGTTAGAATAGAAGGGTTACGTCTCTTCGGGAGAGGGCGAGGTCGTCGTCGTCCTTCATTCGTCAGACGGGAATATTCGGTTTCGGTCGGTGGTCACATGACGACGCGACTCAGCAGATCAGCGATGAAGCGTCAGTCTCCGCTCGGAATGTTCTCTTTACACGTATGAACAGGTCAGGCTCGAACTCGCGAGCGAATCAACAGGATTGCGAAATCAGCTGCGCCACTAATCCGCCGCCTACATATTTTCAACAAGGCGACAATTGACAAACGTTGTCTGCACTTACGGACACAGAGTGTTAATTTTCACTTTCCCTGTGGGTCGGTTGAGTTTTTTTTCCTTTCTCTTTCTCTCTCTAATCTAGTTGTCGAGCTCAGTTCTCAGGGTTGCATCTCTTTGTCCTTGTGTGGATTTTGTGCTGTCGATCGAGTTCTTCTTGGTGAATGTAAATTTTCGTAACGTTTCCTATCGTCATGGCGACAGGATTTCTTGTGATGGTCCAAAATATTCGGATGGCAAGCAATTTTCCGGACTTTTTCGTTTTTCTTGATTATTTTCTAAGCATTTAAGTTTTTCTTTACTCTATCGTTTAGAGGCAGTTTCTTGCGATCATTTTGATACATAGCACTCATACATTTGTTTCAAGATAGAGTTGTCCCGAGAGCAAAATCGATTCTCAACTCTACAAAAGTACCAAAGCAGCACCTGAACCCAAACGATGCTCGTGTAGCATCAACAATCGCTTTTGCTCTCGGGACGACTCCATCTTAACCGGCTTACTTCCGCGGACCCTACCTGGGCGTGCCGCCAGCTTCGGAACCACTGCACCTCCTCTATCTCGACTAGTTGCCGACTACAGTACTGCTTTTCGTTGCAAAACCCGCAGCTAAATTGGAGTGGGTCTTGCGACGAAAAGCAGTGCTATAGGCAGCGACTAATCGGGTCAGAGGAGGTAGAGTCGTTCTCACGCTGGCGAACACGCCCAGGTAGGGTCCGCGGAAGTCAACCGGTTCAAGCAAATATGTAAGTGTTACATATCAAAATAACTGCAAAATGCTGCTTTAAACGATAGTAAAAACAGAACTTGAATACATGGTAATAAAAATGCATGATTAAAATAGCAGCACAGATGTTATATTGGAAGTTAAGAAGTCGTTTACGCTACATATGCATTCAATAAACTTCTAAAGATGCTCAGTGAAGTTGAATGTAAAGCACATCCTTCACGAATTGATCTACCCCGAATGCTTTATCCTTCAGGCTTTTATTCTGAGATTAAATGGTGATCGATTCTGGGAATCTGACCGGTATTTGACGGCATTCATGAGAAAAAGAAAACCGGAGTTCTCAATTGGAAGCCAGGCCCACAGGCAACTTTCTAGAACAAATTTTCTGGACAGATGCGAGAGAACGAATCGAATGGAAAATAGATGAAATTGGCCGATATGTCGGTGCGTGAAAAAAAATGAAAAATAACGCTTGATACAGTCGAATTAACGACTCGAGCCCACGTCATGTAGGCGTTCTCTGAAGTATTTTTGGGCTCATCACAACGACACTCGTGAAGCATCAACGATCATTTTTGCTCTCGGGACACTCCCATCTTGAAATAAATGTACAAGTGTTACGTATCAAAATGATCGCAAGAACTTGCTGTAAACGAGAGCAAAAGCAGAAACTTAAATGCCTGAAAAATCCGGATAATTTCCTGCCAATCCGATATTCTCCTAATATTGACGCTAAAAATTCCCGGGCCAACTATTTTTCAGCCTCTGCATAGAGTGATCCGGGGTTGCTAGAAGCAGAGAAGTTTCCTGTCGTCCTGCTGACAGGACTTCTTCAATCGGTGTGGGATATCAGGTCTTTCCGTAAGATTTAAAACTGGAGCAGTAAGCACCAAATTCACTAACCAGAAGTGATCAAAATAGCATGATCTTTGTATCGTTCGACTGCGCATTTTCTTGTGAATATTTTGGTATGCAACTTGCCTGAGCTTGATCGAGATGGAGCTGTTGTGGGAACGAATTCGCTTGCTACACTTGCACGAATGGCGCGTAAGGAAATATGTAAGTGAGGCGGCGCGCAGGATTTGATGGAGGTTTTTGTGGATCGCCCGAGAGCGACTGATCCTCCAGACTGTACCCTCCAGCTTTGAACTTCGCGGACTTCCTAGTCGCCCTTTCTGCTACCGTATTGTCGCCTCTACTCCATTAATCTTGCGCGCCGCTTCACTAGCACTTTCCCCTAGGCACCATTCATGCATGAGTAGCAGGCGAATTTGTTCCCACTACAGCTTCAGAAAGGGCGACTAGGAAGTTTGCGAAGTTCAAAGCTGAAGGGTACAGTCTGAAGGGCCAGTCGCGCTCAGGCGATCCACAAGAAGCTCCATAATTCTTGCGCGCCGCCTCACTAACATATTTCTTTGCGGGCCATTCGTGCATGAGTAGGAGGCGAATTTGTTCCCCATCTTGAATAAGTGTATCAGTGTAATAACGAAATGTATACTAAAAGGTTCACAGAAGAATGCGCAATTGAACGACTATCAAAGCATGCAATTTTAATTGTGGTTAATCAATCTTGGTTTTTCTTGCTCTCGTACCTACACTTATGTAACGACCTATTATTCTGGTGGCATATCGCGTGGGAATTCCCAAGCCAACTCTCTTAGCTGGACATAGGGAGAATGAATCAGTACTTTTAATTGGCAGATTCGAGGTTGCTACGGGCAGAATTGTCTCCTATCGTCGCTTTATAGAGTCTTAGCCCTTTGACCATTCAATCGTACAACTGTTGCGTTGAACGGCTGTGCGGTTTTTTTTTTTGCCTCTCGAAAATTGTTATCAGTTGTTCTCCAAGTGATTTGAGTCAGAAATCGATTACGTTATCCTCCGCAGAGACGAAAGTCATAGAGTTCTTAAAGTTGTATATTCAGCAATATGAAGAGATATGTAAAACTCCGAACCCAGAAGGGAATCGGACCCGCATTTCACCCTTTGTTGGGGCGCGTTCTGACCAATGTTACATAACCGGAGGACTTCTACTCGACTCTATCAATCTTTTTGCAATGACAGAGACAAAGGGCTATCTTGACACGATTTAGAAAACAATTTTGATGGGGCGAAATGCCCATCAATCGTTAAGAATGAGGCAGAGTTCGAATGCAAAAGAAAAATGCCTAGGTATTCGATTGGAACGTTTCACAAACACCGTAGCAAATCGATGAATAAAACTTCTTCTTCAACCGCTCTTGGAGCGGTGGTATAAAGTTCATAATTATATATCCAATAATGTTAAGTGATATGTAAAACTTCGAACTCAGAGGGAATCGGATCCGCATCCCACCATTTCTGGTGGCGCATGGTATTCAACTGCGCTACCCGACGCTCATGCTATGCTACTACTTTTTCTACGATACAAACAGTCTCTGTCAGCGTCAATGGCCGATATGTGTTTACCAGGCCAAACCGTTGACAACTGGTTGCAGACAGATCGACTGTTTGTATCGCAGAAAGAGGATAACGTAACGGGAGCATCGGTGGCTGCAACTGATTATCACGCGCCTTGGAAAGCGCACCTTATGAGTTCGATTCCTGTACGAGGTCAAACGTTTTGCATATCACTCTACACTATTGGGTATATTATTATAACATCATACCACCGCTCAATGGACAGTTAAATGAAACATTCTTATTCAACGAATTGTTCCTTATGTTTGTGAAACAATTCAATCGAGTGCGTAGGAACATTT